CACTTCGATGAGAATGAGGGGCGGACTCGTCCATGTTATGTAACGTAACTGGCCGACCTGAAGAGGAGGGGTCACGACTCGTGCCATGCTCGATTGGAGAGCGTAGCCCGTGTCGAGCATGGGCGAGGACTGACCTGTCGAGGACATGTCAACGGGCCGCGACGAACGTGGAGCTACTAGCACGGCGCTATCGGGTCGTCAGGTGGTGGAGTGGATCGTTCTGAGGGTCGGTGCGACAGTTGCCTGCGTCGTTAGTCCAGGGGTAACCCCAACACGGGGGCTGTCATTACAGGCTGGGTGTTTGGGAGGAGCGGAGCGGTGTACGACCAGGCGGCTTAGGTCGTCACAGGACGCTCAGCCGACTGAAGGAGAAAAAAGGACTCGAGCCGCTCGTAGGCTCGAGCCACCTTGCGTAGGCTCGACCTTTGTCGTGCTGCAAAGGTCAAGCTGCAGTGGCCACTGGCGCGACGCCGGGCTCCCAGCGATGCCTTCACTTGTCGTGTTGGTGGTGCCAGCTGCACAGATGCTGTCGACTCTGTTGCTCCGTTGACCGCTGAATCGAACGCAAGCTACGGACTGTTGGTCGATCGTCCAGGTGGAGGTTGTCCTTCTGGACCCATGATTCGCAATTGCTTATGGCCGTCGGTCTCGCGCGTTGGTCGCCGAACGACTCCATGTCTCAGCCCCTGCCATCCACAGGCCCCAGGCAAGACTCCGCCAGGCCATGCCAGAATCGCAAGATTTCGTTGTCTGGGGGTGGTGAGTGATGAGCGGTGGGAATGGCACAGAGAGAACCGAGCACCGATCGATGGGCAAATGGGCAAAGACCGATTGGGACGCACCACGCAGGGGTTGCCTTGGTAGACCTTGGGGCTGATCGACAGAAGAGGACTCTGGCGATCTCCCGCCACGGTATGCTAGTTGAGATAGCGCTGCGCACAGGTCGTTCGGGCCATACAGGCTTGGCGCGAAGCCGACGCTGAACACAAGAGAGAGAGAGAGATAAGACTAAATCGAGAGTAGTGGCTGGCTTGCGACTCAACGCTGGCGTCTGACTTCCTCAACGTACCATGTGTGTGTGGTCTGGAGGAGGTAAACGGTGCGCACTGCAATGCACCGATTTGTCTGCCAACACGAGGAGACCATCATGACATGCACGCCGCTTGAAAGTCAAGTTTGCCGAGAGATTGCATTCGATGGAACACGGCCGGGGGTTCGGGTGGTTCGGATACTGATGCATTGGATGAACTGGTCGTGTCTGAGACGGTGATGTTGCAATGAATTCATGCCACGGGAAGAAGGGGAGGACCGCACTGATCCCCTCCTTCCACGAAGCACGGGACTCCTCGCGCCTGGGGAGGCCAGTGGGGATGCCAGAAGCCTCTGAAGACCTTGACGGCGAAACCTCGGTTGACTTACCTCATCATCGGTCAAGGCCGGACCCCACCTTGCCCACCCTGTCAACGATCCTTCACCGAACCTTGTGTGTGTCTTAGGTAAGCTTTCTTCTGCCTGTTCCAGATTCTTGACGCACACGCGCACACGCGTGCAAACCAAACGAAGTTGCCCGTCTCTGCTCAGCCTTGCAATACGGCTACGACGATGATGGGAAGCTCTCATCTCGACGCGCACCATTGAAGCCAAACACTGGATCCCCGTATCCTCCATCGAACAAAGGCGCAGCTTCATATCATGCATGGTTCAACGGTGACAGGCCCTCATGATCATCTTCAGCAAATAGCAGCGCTCTTTGCAGGCTCGTGTCCCCACTCACCAGGCCGCGACACACACATCACCTGACAAACAATATCTATCGCCTCACTCATTTATGCTCGTCACCACCAACAATTGAAGCGTCAGAATGGACCACCAAAACTCGCCATCGGTCGATCTGCTCGTCGAGAACCTGTCTGGCGTCCAGGATCTCGTCAAGTCCACGCATCAAATTTTGCTCTCTAGACAGGACCATCTTAATCTGCCTATCAAGACTTTCCTTCGCGCCGCGTCGGGGAAGCTGCACACAGCATTAATGCTGATCGAAGACCTGAAGACCCCGAGCCAGAAACATTTGGAGTCGCCTGGCAACCCGGGGTGGACGGCCGATCTCGCCCACGTAGAGGCCTGCAAACAAGCCCTCTCTGGCTGGCAGGTGTCCACCCAACAGCCCGCCCAGGACGTCTTGAAAACGCTCCAAGCACTCTGCATCCACCTCGACATTGCCCAACAGGCGCAGACCTTCGTTGCTTTTGTCAAGTGTCTCTCAGTCCAGTTCCAGGAGCACCTAGACAGCGCCAGCATACCTGTTCAGGGCCCCCAGACAGAGCAGGAGTCGGCAGACTCTTTGGAGGAAGTCAAGGCGTCTCTGGACCTGATATTGAGCTCCAGATTCGACCAAAAGGTTGGTTGTCTGTACGACTATAGGCAGTTGGTCCTGAGAAGGAATACTGACTTTCCTTCCTACTCCAAAGGCTGTATAACCTGGTTAGGCTACGCGGAACAGTACTGGCCGCAGCTCGGGGATCGAATCTTGCGCTTGTTCCATGCGGACAAGGCATGCAACTTCCAGCACTGGATCTTGGAGTACTGCCAGCAGAGCTACCCCGAGATCTATGGCCTCGGGACTAGTACAGCGCCAGAACGATCCCTGTTGGTCCTCATCTCCACCATCATCGAATCTTCTGTCTCTCGGCTCCACGTCGCTGCTGCCCTCGGTCTCGCACAGGTATGCAAGCATTTGATCGGACAACATGTCGACGAGAACCGGCCAAGCCCACTCGGGACGCCATACTACTGTGCTCTTATAGGGCCGATGGCATTGCTAGCCCAAAAGGACAGTCCTGTGAACATGGTTCAGTGGCCATGTCCCAGCATCGCTCAGATGGACACTCTCTATGCGTTCGAGAATAGCATGTGCTGGACCGACGTCGAGTCTGACAGTGACCTGGCCCCGCTTTCGTTACCAAACTTGATCTTTCTTGTCTGTCTGCGTCTGGGATCGACTGAACTGTATCAGCACTTCTTCTCTCTTGAGCATCTCGAAAGCTTACCGGAAGTCATCATGGACGCATCTTACAGCCAAGTCCCGTGGGGTGCCCCAGACTCCGAACGCGCGAAAGCATTCCTCAGCACAACTCTGCCTTATCTATTCGACACAGTTCTCCCCGAATTCGAGGAGGTCCATGCATCTGAGGTTCTCAATGGTCTCTGGGATGTCATGAATAAGATGTGTCTTGACATGACGGTCGGCAAAGCGAGGACGCAGGTTGCCCTTATTGAGGATTACGAATTCTTAGACATTGCCAGACGAGCGTTGCGCCACTACGAAGAGCCGGTCGTTCTGAGGCTGATACAGGATCCCCGCTGGAAGCCTGATTCAATCCGGACCTCTGATGGTTCACCGATTTTACATTCGCTCGTCGTGGATGACTCGATAGACATGATTGAAGCAGTCGTCGACTCGGGCGCCGACATACACATCAGAGACGACGAGGGTCAGACGCCCGTCATGCGTTGTGAATCCGTCTCCACTCTTGCCTTCCTGGTCAGCCACGGTGCTCGTCTGAACGACGTCGACAACCAAGGTCAGAACATATGGCATATATGCGCCGCCAATTCCGATCGCGGCATGTTGGAGTGGTTGGTGGAACACGACCCACACATGAGGACCAACTTAGGTGTCTGCATGCGTGGCGGCCGCACGCCAACTGCTCAGGCCATGATCCACGTTCTCTTTGAGCTCACCAAAGTCGATCCTGATGGCCCTACCGACATTTGGGGCGAGGCGCTCCACCGCCGTGCCAACTTTTGTCTCGATAAGCTCCTCTCCTTTTGCAAGACTGAACCCTCCTATCTGCAAGCTTCTGATTATTCTCTGATCCACGTCGCGGCTGAATGGGGGCGTATGGGGCCAATGGAAGCATGCCTACAGTCAGGCAATGTCAAGATGGACGCTCTCGACGGAAATGGAAACTCGGCCCTCCATTTGATCAACTTTGCTGCCGATTCCGAAGCCATCTGTTTCCTGCAGCAACAGTGCGCCAATGCTCCTGTTCAAAACAGCAAGGGTTACACGCCAGCCGAAACGATATTCTTCAATTTCGACAGAGCCTTTTCAGCACTCTCTCTTGAGTCGTGTCTCTCTTCTCATCCCGCATCGAGCACCCACCTGCAATTCGAGGCGTACCTGCTTTTGTTGACCCCAGAAGTCTTGTCATCGGAAGATGCGGCTGGCCGCCAGCTCTGGGAGAGATTCATCGTGGACATTGTTCACGGTTGGTCGACTCGCGTCGCAGGGGGGCGGCGTGCTAATACGCGCGCCTTCCCCTCATTGCTTTGTGCTGCAACATGCCTCGTTGCCAAGGGGGCGCTGGGTTCGTGGAGGAAACGCGCAGGTGCTGACGCGGATCCTCTATTTGGGCTCAAGGAAAGTGAACACTGGAAATCTGACCGATACTGGAGGACCTGTGTGCAGAAGATAGAGGCCGAGGTCAACGATGACTCAGGGTGTTTGCCGGGCAGTGGACTGAAGCGATCACGGTCAGCATCAGACGCAGGTACGCGAAGAGCCAACATGAATGGGGGTGGCAGGCAACGCACCCCACAGTCTGGACGGCCCCGACACGGATCACGACAAGAGAACCTAGAGGATTGAGGCGGATAAAGGCTTATGACCAGAATTCTCTCAATCGACCGCTTAGAAGCGGACACATGAGACGAGCCTGGGTTCTGCAGAATGGACAGAAAGACAATATCGAACATCACGAAACCACAACCCAAGAGCAATCTCATCGCGGAATCGATGACCGACAAATGTTCACGTAATTCAGGCGTCACTCGCACAGATACCAGTGTTATTCAAACGCGGCTACACGCTAGCCCCATATTCATGCCACTTCCAGTGTGAAGTACAAACCCCGATTCTTCACATGCTCCAGCCGCTGGCCGCGCTGCCAGTATCTGCCTGATGTGACAAAATGTTCGGAGCACTGTATGCAAAGTCATCACGTCAGAGTGGGCACGCTCCACGAAGCCCACGTGTTCAGGTTGAAGCTGCCATGGTTCTTCTCCGTCCGGAAGATGCTCGTCGTGCCACCGCCCGACTGCAGCAGGAACTTGTTGATGAACGCTGTCAGTTCGCTTCCCTGCTTGGCCGCTGGGAACGAGCAGTGCGAATTTCCGCCGACCTGGCTGTAGCCAAAGTTGTCCAGGGCACCGAGAGCCTCCCACTGCTTCCTCGCAGCGCCCATGCAGCCGTACGTCGCAGTCCAGCCGAGCCACTCCATGTCCGAGTTCTCCATGACGTACAACGCGCGAGGCGCGACGAGACCGGCGAGCATGTGATGGTCAAAAGGCAGCGCGCGCACGTTGCTCGTGTACGTGTTGAAGGCCGTGCCGAGCCAGACGTTCTCCCCGACAATCTGCGACGCCGTCTGCACGTTCTGGCCGTTCTGCTTCTGCCAGTCGGCGATGCGCCAGCAGGCCGAGCCGCCGGCGCCCGACTCCTGCGGCAGCGTCAGCGCGATGCGCGGCTCGAGCGCGCCCGCCACCATGGCGCCCTTGCCGTTGCGCGAGCAGCCCGTCACGCCGACGCGCACGGCGTTGATGCCCACGGCCGGCGTCGCCTCGAGCGCGTCGATGATGCGCGCCACGCCCCAGGCCCACGCCGTCAGGGCGCCCGCGCTGTGCGAGCTGCCGTACAGGTCGTAGAACTTGCCGCGGCCGCGCGAGGAGCCGCCCTGCTGCTGGGCGACCTCGTCGTTGTTGTAGGTGATGGTGGCGACGCCCGCGGGGACCGGGATGCTGGCAGCACCATACGCTATGATGGCCGGCACGTTCGTGCCGCTGGGCTTGTTGATGGTCACGGCGAAGGAGATGGACCGGCCCTGGTCAGAGACGTTGATCGTCAGTCGGTTGCCCGAGTATGATCCCGTGACGGACTGCGGCTTCCCGGGAAGGGTTCCCAGCTCGTAGGTCTGAATCTGGGCGCTGATCTCGCGCTGGCGGCATGCCCAATCGGCCTTGGTTGTGACAGCGGCACCGTTCTGGAAAACGAACGGGTTGGGCAGGTTCGCGTTTGCGGGACCGAGGCCGCTGGGCAGAGCAGGGCAAGTGCCGGGTGTCACCGGCGGCGGCGGTGCAGTTGGAGGAGTTGTTGTCGGAGGGCTGACAGTCGTCACAGGGGGTGGAGGTGGGACGGGAGTGGTGGGTGGCGGAGGAGGGGGGCCGCCGGGAGCCGTGCCGGGCAGACACTGCGAATACCAAGGGTTGATGACGCTGCAGTAATGTCCCGAGACGCAGGTCGTTGCACCTGTGTGTCCCTGGCCGCCACACTGGGCCCAGGGGCCAGCCTGAGCCGCTGCCGATGCAGCGAAAAGGAGGGTCGCTGCGAGAGTCTTCATGACGGGTGGTCTGGAGCGAGAATAATTGAGAATCCGTTTGCTGGCGAGGCTCTGTCTTCAGCTGTGTATCAATGGAACGTGATCCATCGTCTTTATACTCCAACTGTTATTGTTGGAGGGGCCCTTCTGGTGCCAAGACGTGATAATCCAACGGGCTCTCGGGGCCTTCTCTTCGTGACCGTTACCATTGCTGCTGGAACATGGTTCTCTTCATTTGGATATTCTCTGGTCAGAGACATTGTGGAAGGGAGCCTCTTGTCATTTAGGCTAAAATGGGTTGCCTCCACGAACCTCAGCAGATGCTTGCCATGGGAGCTTGACTCTACGGGTCATTTCGGCGACGAGCTCTAGCGGCGAACAGCATAAACCTCCGGCTTTTGCTGTGACAGGTTTCACGCGACCCGTCAGGACACAGCAAACATCCCGGTGGTGTGCCAGCTTTCATCATGAGGTCTGCGGCGACTTTAGGCAGTACACGAAATACTCCGAATATCAACATGGGTCATCTACCGCCCGGACTGTCCTTTGCAGATCATTGTGTCCCGAAAAACCATCCTGTCCTATATATCCGATCCATTGAGACCAGGGTTGTCCGCTCGACCCCAGATTTCCCCGCTTGCCAACCAGCATGGGACGAAAGAATCCCCCGCGGCTGAGTTCCGGATGCTCCGTAGCCAAGCCTTCAGATATGAGATGGCGCCGGTCCTAGCAAGTCACTATGTCCCTTGGCATCATGCAAACTGCCGTATTGACCGGGGCCGGACGAGCGGCTGCGACGTTGGCGCCAATGGCTGAGCTTGAAGGAGATCCACGGAGCTCGCATTCCGTGACGCCGGTGGGTGACTTTCCGGAACCGGTCGTGAAAGTAATGGTCGCAGTGAAAGTGGCTTGGGCCGTTTTGGGGAGACGATTTATCGACTGCATTCTACCTTATCTGGGTTGTAGTAACCCTGGAGTTTGGTCTGATCACTGCATCATCATGGGTTCTCGAGATTGTGATGCCGCTTATCTTGAGAGCCCGGAGACACGATCAATATATTGATCATGTCAGAGGGCGTGTAACTCCTGTGCACTCTGGGTTTGGTCTTGGCGAAGCTCGGATGGCTCACGAAGCCCGAAGGGTTGCATATCGAATGTGTTCCTGACGTGGACGTCTTGCGTACAAGACACCGTCATATCGCGTGCTCAGAACTTCTCGATCAGCGCCTCGCCCTTGATCCATGCATCGTGTTGTGTTTGTCTTTCTTGTATCTATGTAATTCTACCTATTCAATTCCGAATATGATAAAGTTGTCCTCGCGGGTGCTCACGGTGCCGTTTCCATCTTTCCCTCGAACCGTCGACTGGAGGTTTCCACCCACAGCACAGAGAAGACAAACTGTATCATCTTGAACAAGTAATTGTCTGGCCACTGGCAGCCATGAAACCCGCACCAAGCTCATCCTGGTACTCGGTCAGACGGCCCAAACACGGTTCGAACCTTCGTGGACAAAGATTTGCAGGGTAAAGCTTCTTTCCCTGCAAGCAGAAACCTTTTTCTGAAGCAGCCAGTCGGCCATCTGTGGCTTTGTGTTGGCTAGCATCTCTAGCCCCTGCAGCGATAATCAGGCTGCGAGGTACGATAATCTTGTCAGTCCATTCGTTGTCGCCATTGTAGCGTCGGTCACACAACACTTCTGCGCCTGCGATAGCTTTTGACTCGGCGCTGGGAAATACATTTGCGGTCTTAAAACTTCCGTATTCGAGAGACAAGTGAGCGTGATCGCATGAGCCCACCGTCAACGTTTAGTTTTGAAGTGCTCGCATGATGCGCCAGGTACTTGCGAGCCATGTAGGGTTCCCTACAGAGAAATCTTCGTACCAGAGCCCATTGGGGCGTTCTTTCTCACTCGAAGCCGTTCATTCGTAGAGGATGTGTTTGGTGGCGAAGGAGAGGGGAAGGGATGCCTTAGCCAGGGCATTCATAGCTCGTTACAATCATAGCTCGTCACGACAGCTTTGTCTCTGGGAACCCGGGCACGAGCGTGAGAGTTTGTCTGGCTCCGCGACGAGAGAGATGGTCCTTCGGTTCTCTACCGAGTGCGTCGAGACATAGAAATTGGCGTTAGAAACTAAGTGATTCGGGACACAATATATGCCGTTCAGTTATGGCATCGGCTGTCAGACGAGTAGGAACCAAACTCCTTATGCCCGTTTCCTTGTACATCAACGTGCTCGATACATTGTACGGGGCAATGTCTTGAGCTTGCGTTGTAAAAATACTGCGTGTCTTAACTTCAAGTGTTTCTTTTTTATTTGAAATATTGGTCTCCTTCTGAGTCAAATGGGCTGTTGTTTTCGACTTGAACGCCTGGCCTCTCGCACAGTAGTACATCAAGGTGCCGAAAGAACATTGTTGGACCGCTTTGACTCGACACCCTGCTGGTCGTTTGAGCATCATGGCCAGCCAGGTGCCTTGGACGTAGCGCTCGACAGCTATAAAAAGACAGCTTCGCAGTTTCCGAAACTCCGACTTGCCTCGTTTTCTTATCCGACCTTTCCCACTGTATCGAAGCCTCGAAGCCGGCACACTGCTGGGCTCCTGTCTCGACCCGTGGTTCGTCGAGACAACCCTGTCGACGGGCTGGCTACCGTATCGACAAGCGACGCGGGTTCGTCGGAGTGACAGGAGCAGGCTTTCTTTCTCTAGTCGACCTCAGTCTGTTTATGACTTTTGATCCCGGTGCTCCTTACGACGGCAGCTGAATTTCAGCAGGGTCTGAGCATCATTATCAGTCTGCCGAAGCGGCAAGGAAATATGCGAGAAGAAAAAAAAAAAAGCCGCCAACAAAAACGGCGAAGACAGACGCTGCGTTTCCATATGTTGTCTTGCAGCCACAACGCTTGCGCAGGCCAAAAAGGCTGATTTCATCCACAAACCTCGGCTGGATTTCCATGACGTTCTATTTCTTCCTTGGTGGCGAAAGCGCACAATAGCAACTACCGCGATCAATAATGTTCTCTTGAGGAGTAGCCGAGATCCGGCCAAAGGTCGGCATCGCATGATTTGCGCCGCAGCCGGACCACCAAAAAAAAAAAGAGCCCGCAGCCTCATCATCACACCGCTAACCCTTTGTCGTCCCCGATTCATGAGTCCTCCAGCAGAGGGCTTTCAGGGATAATAAAGTCAGCGAAAAGAGTTGTGAACTTGTGGCTGCCGCAACACGAAAAAAAAGGGAAAAAAAAGTTGAAAATTAATACAAAATGGCACCGAATCTTCAGTTTGCTATCAGAAGAGTCCTGATCACCCAGGATTCAAAGAGCTCCGCGACACCGTGGAGCACATAGCCACCTTCTCAGGGGCCGTCCGACCGACAGCCGACTTTTCACGGAAGTCTCGTACTGTCCAAGGCGCGGCCCTTGGTGGGAGAGGGTTCTTGTTCCCACCCTACGCGAGGCATAGCCTCTCGCATGGCGCTCCGGAAAATGGCACACGAACGAGCGAAGAGATTGGCATCACGCCCGCAGGGCCGAGGGAGAGAGATGGCAGTGCGCGCAGGGTACGGTTAGATGCGTGGGGTGCGAGAGAGGGGTTGGTCTGGGCTCGCTTGGAGGACGCATACTCAGGAGAACCCCCGAGGCTGACGTGCCCCGTTTCGACGAGTGTTACTTCTTGATACCGACGATCTCGGCTAGTGATTGCCTGATCGATGATTTGCTTGATTGATAGCCACGGGAAGATTGCGCCAGGGAATCCCTCAGATAGCAACAAGGATTCGTGTGACAGATCCAATCGGTGTCGGTGATTGGCGAACGGCGAATAATCAACAGTGTGCATGTGAAGTCGGGAGCGCAGTCACACGAGTGCAACCGATGTCGGCAAGTCATCCTTGTTGACTGTGGTATTGGTGATGGAGTTTCCGCACAACGAGCTCGACATTGGAGCGACCCTTGTCCATTGTCTGTCATTCAGTGCAGTGGAGGACCCACGCTTATGTCATCGGAGTGACGTGCAGGGGTCCTCGCTCTGACGATCTGGAGGGGTAACACGGCTCTCCTCGCAATCGCAATCGCATCCTCAGCATCCTCAACCTCACGACGCGCCACCCAATTGCGAAGGCAGAAAAGGAAGAGAGAGCACAACATAAGGGGACCCCCAAGGAAACGAAAAAAAAAGAAAAGCCAAAATGCCAAAGAAACTCTCCAAACACCCCGCCGCCAGCAGCACAACAACCCTCTCCACAACAGCCTCGTCGACCCCGCCCTCAACGCCAGCCATCCTCTCCGACGGCCTGCCGCTGCCGACACTCATCGTCTTCGACCTAGACTATACCCTCTGGCCCTTCTGGATCGACACGCACGTGGCGCCGCCCCTCAAGGCCGACGCCGCGCACACGTCGGCCACGGACCGCCACGGCGACACCTACACCTTCTACCCCGACGTCCCCGCCATCCTCGCGGCGCTGCCGCGGGCCGGCGTCCGCACTGCCGTCGCCTCGCGCACCCACGCGCCGGACCTCGCGCGCGACCTGCTGCGCATGCTGCACATCTCGCCCGTGCCGCCGGGCGACGAGGCCGAGGGGGCCAGCAGCAAGAAGAAGGACAAGCCGAGAAAGGCGGTCGAGTTCTTCGACGGCGGGCTTGAGATGTACCCTAGCACCAAGATACGGCACTTTGAGGCGATACGCAAGAGGACGGGGGTCGCGTATGAAGAGATGCTCTTCTTTGACGACGAGAGCCGGAACCGCGATACCGAGTCGTTGGGCGTCACTATGTACCTCGTGCGCGACGGCACGGGGTGGGTGGAGATTGAGAAGGGCATTCTTGAGTGGCGCAAACGACGGGGAATTGCATGACGTTCCTGGCACGTACTGGTAGACACAAGTGAACGATAGTACAGCACTTGGACCACGACTTGTAGACAATGTAGTATGTATTGGGGTAGGGGGGGGGGGGGGGGCGATTGGCCCGGATAATAATCATCATAGCCATGAAAGGCGAGAGCGAGCGCCTATGTACAG